AATAACCAGTAAGTAACAACTGTCATAGTCGAACTACAGGACATGCCTCCTGAGTTACTGGTAACAGCTGAACATCTCCCTGCCAACACAGAAAATAACTAACTTGATCAACCCCCTGAAGAAAAGCATCAGTTTACAAGTCCTGGGTGATGTCAAGTCATGCTGCTTAGGCAGTGCTTCCTTTCAAGTGTTTCTTCTTGATCTCTGCGTATAGTTATTTAGTATTTTATATGATTAGTCTTAGTGTTCACACCCAGCTCCAAATTAGCTCAAAATAAAGTCATTTGAAACGTCATTTGGTGTCATTGAAGGGGTTCTTCACGTTATCTGATAGGCTTGTAGGGATGCTCCTGACAAAAATCTTTTTTTAATTATACATTTTAGATAAAGTACCACATGACATAGGTTGTGTATGTTGTACATATTAGCCATATAGTAGCATTTTAGCACATTAGTTCTGCCTGCCCAGTCCCTGATGTCTCTGACTGTTTTTCATGGCCACAGGGTAACTCAGGGTTAGGCTTTAGCATCGCTGGAGGGACAGACAACCCACACATCGGTGACGACCCTGGCATCTTCATCACTAAGATCATTCCAGGAGGAGCTGCAGCAGAGGATGGACGTCTAAGGTCAGTCACTTAAAGTTTAACAAAATAACAAAACAAAACTAACTAGAGATGTGGTCTGACCTCAGACGAGAAAACTTTCAAGAAACTTGCAAGTCTACAACCGTCTCACACGCAGTAAAGGGAAACAGTTTCAAAACGAAATAAATAAAAGAGTTGGCGACCAACACCAGATAGAGACAAAGTTTATGAGATAACCAGAAAATAACCAGGAACCTATTCTCTACTTTGTTGCTTTATTGGTTTGAATCAGAAATGTTTTGTGTCCACATAGGATTTTAACAAGTTGTGAATGCTTTATGTTTGATTGCATGTAAACCCTCCAACCCTTTTAGTGCTTAATAACAGGGTTCATTTCCATATCCTCTGTAAGTAATTTTCTGTCCGTTGCTCTGCTGCCTATGTAGTTTGCCCGTAGGCCACATTGCTGCTCGCATCTTCCTGTCCCCTTGCAGAGATCTTTGATGAAGCCTTTTCCACGTTCTTTGCAGACTGTGGGACCCTTCCAAAACATGTCCTGGTGTGTTCTCTTAGAGAACTGGATGATGATATGCCTCGTTTTTCTTCTTTATGTCTTTGGAGTCAATGAACTGAGAACACAATATGTTTAATGTTTGGGGTCATGATGGAGAAATGACCTTGTGTGTCTTCACCTCCTTTTTCTTTTGTCCTGCGGATCCTGAGGTTTCAGCAGCCCTTATTCCTTTCAAGTACATGCACTTACTCCTTTAGCTCTGTTTCCCCTTTCTTTAAAAAAAGACACCTCTTGCTCCAAAATTTTGCAGTTCTCTATCTCTGCTACGTTGAACTCAGCTGCTAGCATGTTAGTATTGTGCTGTAACTGGGTAGGAAATGTCTCCATTTTGTCAGTTGGCTGCTCTATTACATCCAAGATGGCACTCATTCCTTCTTTACCCTCTGTCCCGGTGTCCTTCCATTTAGTTGATTTCTTTGTTGGCAAGAAAACGTTTTAAGTTTTAATGCTCTTCATAATATTGTCATAGCAGTTCGCATTGCAGACACCAAGAGAGAGGACAGCTGACCCGACACTAAATCAGATTTAACATAAAAATGACCATTTATGTCTATCTTGGAGATAACAGGACATTTCCCACCTTCCAAAAGAACTGCTAACGGCCACAAACTATCAATTCTGAGGATAACCACACCTCTGGAGAAGAGGAGATTGTTATGTTTTTCTGAAAGACAGAATCATTCCAACAGATGTTTATCTCGGTGAAATGAACAGGAGCTGCTAAAAAAAAAAAAAAAACACAGTCTGACACTGATACTGAGCCAAAGAACCGTAAGAAGAATGCACACTCACACATCTGAGCTGTGCTTCATTCACTGATGTAGGAAAACACTCATTAATCAGTGACAGTGTTCTGGTGTGTACCTTAGTTTGATGTACTAATACTTATCTGCTGATCCTGGATTTATTTATTACCTCATTATAATTGATCAACTGTGACCTACAGGAAACTTAGTGACAGCTAACAGGTAGCTAATTTAAGACGCTGACAAAAACAATTTTGCATCACTATTAATACTCACTAAGTTATGAAATGTCACCTGAAATTTACAGAACAAAGTTAAAACACAATATTAGAACATGTTTTGCCATCAAAGGTGACACACAGTCTAATGTGTCAGTGTCGGCACTGGTTGAGACTACAGTGGACCAGTTGTGTGTATTGCTGAAGGGCTGAACTCCAGCTTATTAAACAGAAAGTCTGTGCCAGCCTGAACAAGGAAGCAAGGACACATTTGAGCTCATTCAGTACTCCACTGAGATAAAAGACTTATTCAAGAGAAAACACTGCTATAGCACTCTATTTGATACCTTCGATCTTGGCTATTTTAGTTTAAAACATAAACCCTCTTCCTCTCACTCTCACCACATGTTTAAGTAGCAGTGATGGATCATGTGGATGATGCTGATCTTCACTGAAGCCACACCCCATTCTTTTTCCTAGCTACAGCTCAAATCACAGATGCTCCAGAGAAGCATAATGCATGTGTAATGCCAACATCAAGCGAGTCACGTAAGAAGCGGACCAGGCATAAATTGCACTTAACGTAATTGATGGTCACCCATTCCACGGTGGGCAGTGAGACATTATGCATTATGGATGGAGAGGAAGTCTAAACTCTGTGAAAAGGACGGCCTGATGGGAATTTGGTTTGCTATAATGTTATTAAAGCCAGACACACTTCCTGTCGCTGTTCTGGGACGCTGTAGCAGAGCACTAAGCATATTTAATGCACCAGCCTGGCTTCAGGGACTGCTTGGGGCATTTCAAGTGCTTCATATGGAGGTTGTTGTTTAAAAAAAATAAAAAATGAGTGGAAGTAGCAAGGACTAAACCCATGCTAAAGCCACCATTTTTTTTTCTTTTTTTCCCCTAAAAGATTTCTGTAAATATACATAATGTATGCATGAATGTATCTTTATACTTGTTTTCTCACAAAGCATAGTTTTTAATTATTCGTCTGATTTTACCTTTACACAAAATCCTGACATGCTGTAGGTACTGTCTACTACTTCTTGAAGCTATTTTGGTACACCCTTGACCAACGTCAGCTGTATTTTTAGCCTCTGAAATACAGCTGATGTTGTGTCACCATAGCAACAGCTTTTGATGAATATTGGGATGCTTCTGTATTTGGCATTATCAGGGTCTTGCAACTGTTTTAAGAGGATCTGGTTAATCTGTTAGGAGTAATTCAAGTGTAGAGCCGATAACTTCCTGTTGCCAGTAGATGGCGTTGTGACTGTGATTCACTAATGGTGTGTGCATATCTTCAGAAAAGGATTCTTGACACACAAATGGAATTAGGGAAAGATATGATGATGTGGAGTAGAGTTACAGCTATTAAATAAAAACTCATTAGCTTTACAATATTGTCATGGTAACAGCTTTTGGTTAAAGGTGACACTTTTGATATCTTTCATTAGAAATCTGATGTTGGAGCTAAAGTTTTGTCGGGACAACAGTGGAGCCAATTTGTTTCATCCGTGCCACAGAACCATAAAAAAAACAAAAAAAAATGTACAAAGTTTCTTACTTTTTGATCATCTTTAGACCCTCAAAAATGCAATTCACAAGAAAAACAGCTATAACAATATTAAGCCCTCCTATAGATTCAAGAAGACTTCGTACCACTCAGCGCTCCAACTGTAATCTGTGTGTGTGTGTGTGTGTGTGTGCTGGGTCCCAGCTGGTTCCTCTGAGCAACCCGAGGAAAGCAGTGTCCTTGAGTGCCAGGGCATGAATGTTTTGGTCGACACTCAGGGGAATTCAAACTGAGCGCTGCTCACTGACTATGATTTTTGCCCACGCGTACACACCCAGTCCTGGTCTACTCTGTCTCTTTGTCACACATCTTACATACATACATATACATAAATAAATTAATATGTGACAAAAAAAAAGACCTGTATCAAATGATTCCATGGCAGACATTTCAGTTATAGGAGTCATTTAACTCATGACTGGTATGTGTGTTACATACATGTCTAAACTTTTGTTCATAATTGTATCGTGAGCATTATTATGTTTCTCTTCCAGGGTAAATGACTGCATCCTGCGCGTGAATGATTCAGACGTGTCTGAAGTGTCTCACAGTAAGGCCGTAGAAGCCCTGAAGGTTGCAGGCTCTATCGTCCGTTTGTATGTGCGGCGCCGGAGGCCAATGCTGGAGACCATCATTGAGATTAAACTCGTAAAAGGACCAAAAGGTGAGTTCAGATGCACACACTGTATTGCTGTCAAGATATACTGTCATGTACGCCTTGTCACTAATAGTTAATAGTTTTTATCACGCATACAACAAAATATATTGTGCATGGCAATATGATATATTAAGAAAGTGCTATGAAACATCTGCCAGAAGAGCTAAACATATTTGCATGCATGCATACTGCACACACTAGCATACTGTATATCATGATATACGTCATCATGTTATATGCTGATACTAACCAGCCACTTTCATACACACACACACACACAGGACTTGGCTTCAGTATTGCAGGTGGCGTTGGAAACCAGCACATCCCCGGTGACAACAGCATATATGTCACCAAAATTATTGATGGCGGAGCAGCACAGAAGGATGGCCGGCTACAAGTTGGAGACAGATTATTAATGGTGAGCAAGCAGAATGCTGGTAGCGGTGTCACATATAAGTCCCACATGCTGACACGCCTGTGTGTGTAAACTCTGGGTGCATGTATTGAATGGTAAAATATGGGCAATACTCTAAGTAACCAGAAAAACCGAAGCCTCAATTGTAATGTCATCCAATGCAAATAAGTAAGCAGAATATGTCATAGTGTTTGATGGTTGTCTTCCTGCTGGATTGCTATTATACAGCCTGATATTTAAAAGACTATTAGTAATTCCACGTAACAAGTCAAACATTGCACAGTACATCACCCTGAAGTGCATTTACCATCTTACAGCTGACATCATTTTCCTGCATCTTCAATCTAAATGACAGTTAAGTGATTAAATAAGTCTCTGGCACACACTGTGAAAGCAACAAAGCAGCAACCTACCGGCCGAGTAGGCTAGGAGCAGGTCTCGCTTGAGAAGGGTGTCCTCATGCTTAACTAGCTCTTAATTTAATTACCTCCCAACTGTCGTGTTCTCACCCAAAGACCATCTGTTATAATCCAGTCTACTGAAGGCAGGGAGCATGCTGGACTCAGCTTAACTGCACAGTAAGAAAACACAAGATAGCTTCTAAACCTACTGATTGAACATAGAAGGACAATATCTGTGTCTGCATAGGTAAACAACTACAGTCTGGAGGAAGTTTCTCATGAAGAGGCTGTGGCCATTTTGAAGAACACGTTGGACGTAGTCTACCTTAAGGTGGGAAAACCCACCAATGTCTACCTATCAGATCCCTATGGGCCTCCTGATATCACACACTGTAAGTCCTTTCATCTTGTATTTGAACGGATTAGTACATTGTCTAATGAGCTGCTATATGAAATGTTGAACCAGTCTGCTGTGAGCATTATTCAGAAACTGTAAAAGATGTTACCGTGTGTTGAGTGTATCTCTTCTTTTTATGACACAAAATATTTGTGAGCATGGAGGTCATATCTTAGAGTTTGACTATGAATTCACACATCTCCTACAAAGTACCTAAACCTTTACAAGGTGTAGCTGCTTTAATTCATTTTCACCACATACATCCCTGACATACAGTCATGGAAGAAATGATTAGACCACCATGTTTTCTTCAATATCTTGTTCATTTCATTCAATTACTTAGCTCTGGCATTGTACTACCAAAAACAGTGCTTTTATGCATTCCATGTTTTCTTTTCTGTCTGTTTTAGTCACATGATGCACACAGGAGTTAGTACTTGATGGCATAACCATTGTTTCTGATGACTGCAGCCATGCGTCTTGGCTGCTCTCCACCAGCTTCTGACATTGTTCTGCTGTCACAGCAGCCCATTCCTGTTGCACAAATTCAAACAGATTAGCTTTGTTTTGGGGTTTGTGCTTCTCCATTTTGCATTTGATGATTTTCCACAGGTTTTCAATTGGATGTAGATCTGGTGATTGAGCAGGTCAAGGCATGGTTCCAGTGTTCTGGTTCTCCATCCAGGCTTTAACTGACCTGAAATGGCCTCTTATATGTCCTTGGAATACAATGAAGCTTAAGCATATCAAATAGGACATAAAGTTTGATGTAATAGGCTGCATTTTTTGTCGTGTTCATTGTATTCTTCAGGTAAAATACCTTTAGTGGTATCAGGCATTAAAATGAACAAGAAATCTAAGAAACCAAGGGTGGTCTAATCATTTTTTCCATGACCGTACGCCATACATACAGTGCCATGCCAACATAAAGTTGATATATCCTTGATGTGTTAATTTATACGGTGACATTGCACATATGTCAGCTAACATTTAATTTTATCTGACAGATACACATAATTTAATTATTATTTAACATTACAAATTAATTCATTTAATGTAATGTGTCTCTCCACCTGATAGTTGTTAATTACTATTCTTTTAACTCTAAAGAGGTTGAGGGTAGTGAATTATCACTCAGTTCTTTAGTTCAGATGAGCCTTTTGGCCTCATTTAGCTCATTGTTTTAGTTTAACAGGACATCAGTGAGATTTTTACCTCAGACCACTGTCTTTTAAAAGTAAATGTATAAGCAGCTGTCACTCTTTGACTCTCTCTCACTCTTCCTCTGCAGCTTTCTCTCCTGCCATGGAAAATCACATCTCTTCCCCTATCAACAGCGGCACGCTGGAATACAAGTCCGGTCTACCCCCTATCTCCCCCGGGAGTTATTCCCCCCTCCCTAAGCACTTACTGGGGGAAGAGGATATAAACAGGTTGGATGGTTTTTCCTTGCTACGGTAATTACCTCCTTTCCTACCAGACTACTAGAACTACAGGTAGAAGCTTTGTCCACTTTGCTCCCCCTGTGCCCCCTTTGTCCCAGTAATTTGTGTTTGTGTGACAATTCAAAAAGCTATCAAACTCCTCTGGGGATTATGAAGCCATTTGAAAAGATCTGTTTCTTGTTGACTAAGTTTGCAACCCAACTTTTTTTTTCATTGTTTGTGTTTTTTGTCATACTAATCCCTAAGTGTGTGTCCGGTTTTCACTGCAGTGTGTTTCAAAGATGACCTCTAAACAACTGGCATCTTGATCCTCCGTTCAGAGCTGCGACCTTCTGGTCACATTTCAAGAAATGAATATTTCATAAATAGAAAGGGTCTCCAGAAACAGCAGTTTAAAACCGCTCATCTGCTGTGTTCCTGTATTGCTGTTGTGGTGGCTGCTGAATGTCTGTTTTTATGATTTCTTTTTGTTGCACGCAGAATAATTATTCAAGGCACCCGGAGCCACATTGAGGCAACATTATTAGGTCGTGCTGACCATGCAGTATGTCTCTCCTTAGTACCAGCTGATGGGAAAGTTTAGTGCCTTTTTGATACACACTAGGAAACCATTGCAGCATTAAGTAATGGCATTTAAGAACAACAGACGCAATCTTCCATAAAGATAAACGGCACAATACTGCTACAGCTGCTGTTTTTATAGAAGCGGTGCAGGATTTGCAAAAAGTATGAACTGCTGCTCTCCATATAAGTCATGGTCAAGCCCATCCAATAGCACGAGTTCCTCTTCCATGGTGGTGGAAATCATCTGTAAGAAATTCAGAACTAGGTTGAAGGTATTTTGGGAGAGCTATAAAATACCAAGATCTTAACCCTCACGGTTCCAAATGGACAGAGGAAATAGAAACATGGCCTTTAAACATACATGAGCTCTCAAAGTTCCAGGTTATTCTCTGGCAGACAGCCATGTGTTCTTTCCCTTTCCGTCTTTTTTTTTTCTACCTATTGAAGGGTTTTCATTTACTTCTCTTGGACAGCTGCTCCCAGCATAGACAGCAGAAAGCTTAGGATGTTATCCTGAAGCGAGCCATAGCCAAACATTAGCAGCTCCTGTCCTTACATCTAATCCCAAAGCAAGCTGCCATAAGGCTCAGATCCAAATGGGCCAAATTTGTTATCCAGTCAAATATAAGAATAACGCTTTTGTGCGCTGGATGTTTCCCTGCTGTTTGCCAAGCATAAGGTTTAGTTCGAGTGATCGTGTTTATTGGTTTTATGTCACAAACTTTGGAAATGACAGCAGATTTTAGGACAGCAAGGAAAAGTGGTGGTTCGCACAGTGAAGAAATAAACAGAGACAGTACCCTCTGTGATGCTTCTTTGTTAGGTTACATCCTTGTTGCATGCTATGGCAAGAGTTACATTGTGTTGTCATATTGCAAAATGAAGACTGGTGGAGGAACAATGTAGCAGAGTGATAACAAAAGCTCCCATTAGTGGATAACTGGTGGGCCTCAGTGTTAGGCTGTGCTGAGTGGAGGATTAGTCCTTTATTCTCTCTGGAGTTAAGAGGTTTACTACCTGCTCTTAACCAAGGTGCACCCTTAATAGCCTTTGAGATAACTATGTTGACCTAAAGGGAAGGACTTCAAGTAGCTCATGCCGATCCTGTTCACCGTGTTCTGTGCATAGTGTCAGAACAAACAGTGGAAACAGCAGAGCTAAGTGGACCTTCACTTTCTGTAAAACTCATGATGCATCCACACTAGCTTTTGCCACTCTACATGTAAAAAGTCAAACATTATTCATAATTTGATAAGCTAAATTCTAAATGTCAAAATGTAACTCTTAATGTTTTTGTGAAGCCGAGTGATGGCTAAGTAGAGAATGTATTAAGTGATTCAAAGGTTGCTTTGAAAGCTCAGGGATTTGCTCATCTGCGTTTACTCATCCAAGCATGGATGTAGTCTTCATGGACTTACTCTGCTCAGGGGAGGGCAAATGAACCTTAATGGAAAGTGACTGGCAGTGTTTTTAGAAATCACTTGCGAATAGGATTTGATAATGGCATACTATTACATGAATATATCAGTGGCTGTTATAAGGAGTGAAGCCTAAATATTAAATAATACTTGACGAATTCACGTGAAGCTCACCGTGTTGTCTTCGGTTGATTTCACCTGCTATCTGGCATTTGAAATGTCTTCTTTGAGCAGAATAGCTACCTATAGCTAATGCACTGCACTGTAGTTTGGATACCTTTCTCCAAAGTGATCCTTTAAAACAGCAGTTTTCACCTTTTGTTTTTTCTTTGACAATAATATTTTTACCCTTCTCTGACAGCTGTATGGTATTATTTTGGCTTTCTAGCTTGAAAAGAAATTCAGAAATGTGCAAAAGCTGTTGTTTCCAGGATTTGATTTGATCCTATTTAAATGGTAATTGATCAAAAAAGGAGAGATGAACTGCACCCCCACAGGCCAGCTTTGCAGTCCCCTTGCAGATTCTAAATGGGCCCTGTGGGTCCTTCCAAGGTTACTGCATTTTGGTCTGATCTGGACTGACTGGCTGCCTCAGCTCAGCTTATTGTAGAATGAATGATTCAGCAAGAGAAACAAAGCCACCTTCCCCGATCTCTCTGGCTTCTGCATCTCACTGGTGGGTTATTATTCAGACTCAGTACGAGTTGCAAACACACAGGAGTTGGTCAGAGAGAGAGTAGACGGATAAGGGCAAAAGTACAGTGATAGTAGTTCTGTGCTGCAGTGTGCTCAAGGCAGGCAAAGCAGTGACGCCACAAGTCTAGTCCATGCAACATTGTGCATGTGCGTGCATGTGTGTTTATTTGTTAATATAAATGGGTTAGTGTCTAGGCAATACTCACAGTACACCCATCTACTCTAATCTTGTCTAATAGTGTGACTACCAGCCTTGCATCAACATATTGCACATACACACAGTCCAGTGTCTCAAACATGCACATGATGCATAAATTCCTGCTTTCCATTTTCCATACTCACATATAGTACTACATGCTCTAGTTAACACACTTAAATCCACATCAGCAGACAGACTGAACGTTCACCGAATGTGTTGGAAACTATATGAAGCTGCAGTGTGTCTGCAGCAGGTTAGCGCTGCCTCTCCGTGCAGGCCTGCTGTGTATGAGCTAACGCACTCTGATCTGTTGTGATGATGTTGTTGATGACTCTTTAAATCCCTGACATGGGACATTCACTTCAAGGACATCGCCCTTTATGTTTTCAGTTGTGTTGTTTTGTTTTGTACGTCAGAGTCTGACTGTTATTTAGATCTGTGTCTTAATACAATACAATTCAAAGGGGTTAAATTGATTTGAATACAGCCTTTTATGTTAAAAGACAGTTATTACTGGTTGATTGTCAAAATGTACTTTTTTTTGTCCTGTTAGAAATCCCTCGTTAGATGATGGGGAGGGACACAGGTTTGATTCCCAGCACTTCCAGTTGAGGTGAGCTTTAATGAATGAAATTTGATGAGTGATTTTTATACGCTCAGTGCATGTGGTTGCATGGTCACCATTGTTTTTGTTTAGTTTTTTCATTAACTCATCGGATACAGAAATTACTCTTTTTAAGCATGAGCCTCTTTTCATCATGTTTTCTTTTCTTTTTCATTCTTTAAATCCCTAACTAAATGGTACAAACGAATTCTGAAGTACTGTTGAATGTTTCTGCTTAAACCTTCTATTCAGATATAACCTTTCTGTTATCTGAAACACATGAATGGTGGCTTTTTTTAAAAGGTTATCCTCCACAATTCTGCTGTATACAATAATATAGATTAGTTTTAGTTCTAAAAAGCTGATATCTGGGAAACAAATTTTAACATTTGTCCTTTAAGAGTGTATCCAGCACACCCTGTCTGGTGAGTACGCTAGTGAAGCAATATGCCAACATTTGAAAAAAATAAGTTACACAATCCCAATGTTAGCTAATGTTTGCATTTTTGTATAGCTCATATATTTCTATAGACTGAACCCTCTGATTTAGCTCACACACTTGTGCAAACATTACAGTACAATTTATGGATGAGCATTGTCCTGTCATTTTGTAATACAGCCACTGTGGCCACGGTTCTATAAAGGTAATATACAGTATGCAGTGATATAGTAATGATCAAAGGTAATGCACCGTGAAGATAAGCTCCCTGCCTAACTAAGTGTAGGACTATGTCTGTGTTGCTTCAGAAAGTATTAGAGCCCTCCACTTTTTACAAACTTTGTGTTGTAGATTTGAAATGGGTAAATTTGGCATTTTTATCAATCCACACTCAAAAACCCATAATGACAAAAATATATAGCAGAATGAAAAAACACTTCCTGAAATCTCTCACAAACAAAAGTGCTCAGAAAATAAATTCAGTACTTTGTTGAAGCCCTAAGTAAGTGTCTACACAGTCTGACTCTTCAGCGTAGACTCTGGCTGTAAGCCTGCCACTGGATTGCACACAGCATTCTCCTCCCGTTTCACTACCTGTGTGCTGCCATTTCCAAGATCCCCTCCATTACTAAAAGCACCACTTTGAGTCCTTACTGAGGTTCTCTGGAGTCCTTCCTGAATCCTTCGAAAGTTGCTCTGAAATTCTTCATGACTTCTTTTTTGAGTTCTTCTTGATTACCATCGCAAGTTTGAGTTCATTTATGATCGGAAGAAGAGACAAGGCTCCACTCTGTCCACCACGTCATCAGGTTGACCTGACCATCAACGGATCCATCAGTCAGCAGTGTTCTCGCAGAATCATCACAATATGCAGCATCACTGAAAACTTGATGCAACTTTTCAATTCTGCTTCTTTGCAAATTGAATTTCCCCAAAAATTCCAAATTAGCCAATCACCAAATTGTCAGCTGCTTTCAGGTGTGCTCATCCCTCAATCTCAGAGCTCAATTATCATAATATTGACTTTAGTTCTTTCCATTAAGCTCGCTCACCATCACAGCGTTGTTTTTTTTTATGTTGTTTTCCCGTCCTAGCACGAGTTATTGTTATGTCGTAGTTTGTAGTTGATTGTCTGTTTGTAACAATGAACACACATAAATATAAGTTCAGCACCTTGACTGTTTAGTTTTTCACACTTCGGCCTCTAAGTTGTATAAATGGCAGCTACCTAACCTTTTATAAATAACTTTCTCCTTTAAAGCACTTCCCCAGTCATTTTGAAACTCTTGACAGCCAACATGAAGAGCTTCATATTCAGTACTATTACCACAGTCTTACTGGATCGTCTCGCTGGCTGTACGCAGAGTTAATTGTGTAATAATTCTGCATAAACATTTATTATTCCTTTTGAGCATATAGTGTCATTTTGCAAGCATGCTCCACCTAAACAAGTTTCTGCATTAAACTATTTTACAAGGGCACTGCTATTGTATCCTGGATTATTAAAAATATCATATGAAAACATTTGAAAGGTCAAATACTTGATATTCACTGGAGGGTGTCTTTAAAGAACTAGACTAGAAAGACTAGAAAACAGCATTCTCGAGGACAAACCAGTTTAGGTCCACTGAGATCATGAGACTACGGCAGTTAGAGCACAATTGCTAAATCTGTTTGAGCATCTCTGCTGTCTTTGTAACAAAATACTATCAAAACCACTGATCATTAAACCACATAAGAGCCTTTTACACTACTCAGACTGGAGAACTTGGAACAGTTCATCAACACTTGTTATTACCAGTGCACAATGGAGGAAGATAATGACAACCCAGACCACCAGACTCCCAAACTGGCCAAAAGAAAGAAAAAGCACTTAACCCTACACACCATGGACATGCAAGTCAGTGTTCTTGACTCTACATCTAACTCGATGTTCTTAGCATGCTACACCAAGAGATAAAAGACCTTAGACTGGGTCTTAAATTCACACACCAACAAATAAATGATCCCCAGATTGATGATGCAGAGCATCAGTCTTTTGTATAACGACACAGTTGTCAGTGACTACAATCCAAAAAGAAAATGAAACCCTTAAAGACTCGTGAACGTTAAGGCATGAGGCATGCAAGTCAATCTGATATTTTCCAGAATTACCAAAGGCACGATGGACAGACACACTAAATAGATACTTCATGCAGTCTGCTTAGAAACTACCATCAGAGACTGTAAACAAAATAACTTTGCACAGCGTACACCAATTTGGAACCCGCAACGCAACTCGAAACTTGTGAAGAGCAAGAGGCAGGAGCTGAAAGGGATTCCAAGATTCATCCATCATGCCTTGCCTCCTATGATGACATGCCTCCTATGGACAGGGTCACACTATAGTTCATTCATATAGTGTCTTTTTTTGTTTGTTCATGTTTTATGTTTATTTGTTATATTTTCTTTGCTTGCTCTGTTCCATTGCCATACATATGTGGAATAGAAGCTCCATGGAGGAGGTGAAGACACTGACATTTAACATGTCAGTGAGCAGCATGGAGTATGTGTCTGTTTGTTTTACTCCTGTCTTGATCCCGTCACTACTGTTCTGTTTTTGTACCAATGACTTTAGCAGAATGACAAGAGGCGCAATCAGACCACTGATCAGCCCTGATGTAGCGCTGTGGAGATAGGTCTGGTTATGTACGACCTACACACCTGGATATGGGAGGTTTATCCCATTTTTCCTGGCAGATCATCTCATGGGATATGGGCTTAGTTTGTGCCACTCGAAGACAGTCTGGCACTGTTCCCGCTAGCATTAGACATGTGTCTTGGGTGAGCCGATCACAAGTGGACAGCTTTAATCATGTCTGTTCACATCTGTATTCAGGCAGTTGACTGTCAGAAGCAGCTGTGGTTGGGTTGTCCACTAATGGCAAGGTTCGATCCCCAGCCTATTCGCATGCCGAGGTGTCCTTGGGCAAGACACTGAGTTGTACTGATGGCAGGCAAGCCCCTTGCATTGGAACTCTATGGCCATTTATGTGTGTTTGTGTGTGTAACCATTATGAAGCCCTTTGAGTACTGCCAAGGTAGAAAAATGCCATTTAAGGGCATTCCATGTGCTTTTTACCTGACATGAGAATGTGTCGTCACATGCATGTCGCGTGACAACTTGTGATTAGATCTCGCTTCTGTGCTTTACATGCAAATGAACACATACATCACATAATTTCTATTTGTAGCGACCAAATGCGTTGTTGTTTTTAACACGCACGAGGTAGCAATGCACTTCCCATGTCTAGTCTGCCAGAAAATAAAAGAAGAATAAATCACAGCAATATAAACTAGATCTAGTCCTTTGTGTATCTAGGGCAAAGCAAATGGTCCAAGATGTACTCTGGACTTCTGCTCTGGACAGCAGTTGACTGGGCAATCCTTAGCTGTGGATGAGGACACATTCAAAGAGCTAAAACAATGTGGCTGTATGCAGTCCAGTCCAGCTCTGAATGTGGTCTGAGTGACTGGATCATATCTGTCCTCAATGCGACCTGTACTAAGAGCTCTTTGAGTCTCACTCAAGACTCATGTTCATGTGTCGAGGACCTTACAGACGTGTCCTGAAACCAGAACTGTCCTGGCTGTATGCTTTGGTTCACTGCAGTGCGGAAAAGTGAACCTTCCTTTCAGTCTCAGGTCACTGTACTCTGGAGCAGGTTTTCTTCAAAGATGTCTCTGTATTTTGCTGCATTCACTTTGCTCTTAGTCAAATCCAGCCCCTGTCCCTGCTGCTGAGAAACAGCACCACCAAAACAGCACCACCATGCTTTAGTGTAGATATGGAATTATCAGTTGATGAGCTGACATGCCTCTGCCCATAGTCTTTTTTTCTCATTCTCTCAGAGATGCCATTTGTCAAACCCTCAAGTGTGCTCTCATATGTGTTTCACTCAGGTGTGGACTCCATAGCTGCTCTATCATAAAGGCCTCATGTGATTGAGTGCTGCTGAAATGGTCACACTTCTAGCAGTTTTTCTCATCTCTGTAGGGAATTTTTGAGGTTCTGTTCAAGAGACTTTTGGGTCTTGACCACCGTCCTGACCAAGGCCGTGTCTGGACGCCCACTTATTATCATTGTTCTGGTGGTTCCAAACAATTAAGGCCACAGTTTTCCAGAGAATACTCAAAGCTTTAGAAATAGGTTTATACCCATGCACTGATCTATGCTTCACCATTTATTTATCTCAGAGGCCAATGGAGAGTTCCAGGATAGTGTGGCTTTAATTTTGTTCTGACAGGCACTGTGAATTGTGGGACTTTGCATACACGGGTTTCTAAACTATTTGAATATGAATTTGTTACAGGGGGGCTCAAGTTTTCAGGTTGACTATCTCAGTTCTGTATCAGGATTAAGCATAATTAAAGCAAACAGGATGCACTTGATCACATTTTGGAGCCTCAGCAAAGAGTATGAGTATGTTTGTAAATGAGAGATTTCAGCTCTTGGATTTTTGACAAACTTGCAAAATTTCTTAAAAGAGGTTTTTACTTTGCTATAAAATTAGGTCTGAAAAAACTAAAGGGCTCTGAGTACTTTGTGAAGTGACTGTACATCTAGTATATCTGTGTCATCCATCCGTCCTTACACCGCTCTATATATTTTCATTTTACTTTCCTAAAACTCCTCCACGCTCTGCCGGTGGGTTGGCCATTACAAACTTGCATCCAGGTACATTCAGGCTTTTTTTCCAATCTGTTGAAAGTCAGAATGTCGAAAGATACCTTATAGTTCAGACTTAGTGTTGGTGAAATTGATTTAAAATTATGCACAAGACATCTGGAATATTTCTACTAAATGACATGGGGTTTTTTTTGTTTTAAAAAGTATCTTGGGTTTGAATCCCAAAAATTCAGCATGTGCTTTGCTGATGTAGAAAGTGGGGCTAAAATACGTTACCAAAGGACTACATAGTGGCACTCCATAAAAAGCATGTGTTTGCATTTTTTTCTAAATGCTTCAACACATAGATTTAATGAAGGCATGGAACAAGTGGATACTGTCGGTGTGAAATGACAAATTTTTACCAATCTTAAAGCTACTTATTGGGAAACAAGAGGAAAGTGTTTGTTAAACAGTTGATAAGCAGTTACACAGCGAAGTCATTTATCAGGTAAACACTTCCCTTGAGTTTAACGTCTGAAAGCTGGTTTTCTGCTTTTCTATTTTGATCATCATGAACTGAATATCCTTTGTCTTTAGACGTGCAGACGGTCAACCAAAGCTATTTAGCTGTCCTGATTGTTTAATACTTTAATACACTTTGATCAATCAAGCTGATTGATTCATTAGTTGATCAAGTTCAGCAAGACCTCTGTACCATCTACACCGTGTAAAAGTACTTCCTCCTCCTCTTTCTGCCATCGCTCATCCTGCTTTATTGTGACTGTTCCCATCCTTCTGTCTTTCGTCACATAGCCATCTATTTTTTTTTTATACCAGTCCCTTTCATCCTCGCCTCTGTCCCTGAACACTAACTTCTCTGCTCTTGTCTCTTACTCCACTGTAGGCCTCCTGAGCCAGTTTACAGCACTGTGAACAAACTATGTGATAAAGTGCCCTCCCCCCGACACTATTCCCCCGTGGAGTGTGACAAAAGCCTCCTCCACTCCGCCCCCCTCCCTAGCTATCACTTAAGCCTGTTTCCCGACTTGGACCTCACCAGGTACTGTCCACCGTCATCACCACCCCCCCATGCACTCCTCCACTATGTCCCATTCCACAATGTGAACAGTGTGCCATGTTACCATGTAGTCACCAGCTTGCTTCTAATGCATTTAGTTCCGTGCTGCGTGATGCCTTTCTTCTTCCCAATCCTTCCTGTTTCCTCTCTCTCTCTGTCTCTCTCTCTCTCTCTCTGTCTCTCTCTCTCTCTCTCTCTGTATCTACATATATAGATATATATAAAGATATATATAGATATAGATATATACTATATCTATGTACAAGGTGTGTCAGAAAAGTTCCAGGACTGGTGCTGGTTAAATGAACTTCTAGTTTGTAGTTTGGGTATGAAATATATCCTTCGTGACACCCGTCCTGGAACTTTTCTGACACACCTCGTATGTAAAGTATGTGTGTATTTATATAAATGCAAAGAGAGAGTAACCATGTAATTTATAATTTTATTCATTTATTAATTAATTCATTAATTTATTTTATCTGAGGTGGATGTGAGAAAAATAAGATACAAGGGCATATTTCCTATGACTGATCCAATAAGCACGGCATCATGAAGGAACCTGTATTGACTTTCAGATTGAGCAATTTATCAGCCAAGCAGAGGTTTTAGCAGAGCCCCAGTTGAACTTAAAATGCATTGTAGGATTCAAATAAATAAGGAACAGCATCTTAAAATGTTTTCTTCTGATGATAGTTTCTGATAAAAGTTTTGTAAAGCTGAATTATCCCTTTTGAATTTTTTGTCCTTGAATCTGTCACTCTTCTTGTGGGACAGCTGTCCTCTCAGGTCTGAACAGTCAAAGATGAACACAGTCTGTTAATATTTGCCTTGTGGTTTTGCAAACTAGTGCAAACAATAACTTTACTGCTGTGGATATGTTGGGAGGGGCATGTGTAGGGTTTTCAGCAGTAGTGTTGTAATAGTAGTATGCACATGTTAGGAATGGTGGTTTTAGCATTAGACAGATTTTTTTTCTTTCCTTTTTCTCCCCACTGTGTTTTATCAAGTCCAAAGTCACACAACTGTCTACCAGGAGATTTCAGAGCACTTTATTCTTCCATCTACTGGCAAGATTTGTGCAGATAAAGCTGTACAGATGAACATATTTTTCAGAAGTTAAACATTTCTTTCTTTTAAATCCTTTCTGATTGATCTTAGGAAATATTCAAATAATTTAAGATGCTGGATTTCTGATTTCCATGAGTTTTAAGTTACAATCATCTAAATGAATTTTTTTACAGGTCATGGGGATAAATAATAGGGTGATGGATTTTGAATAAATTAAAGTTTACCTTTTTGAAGTAAATTATGAAAACAATGTTCTATTTGGTTGAGTTGTGCTAGTATGTACTGTAAAGAGACATCCATGCTACAGTTTGGTATTATGAAATCAAACTATCTCAAAATCTAAGTCCTGTGTCCTTTTTCATTTCAATGAAGAAATGTCAATTTTTAAGAATGCCGAAGTAGTCTTATTCCTTTTCCCTTCTGTGAAAGTCTGACTTATTTCAAAGCAGCACACAGCTTCTCTGAAATCAAGAAAAGCACATCAGTTGGGGTTAGAGCAGGATCAGCCATGATGAGGCATGCCTCAACCAGATCAGGTTAAGGACCCCCAACAGAAGGAGCATGATGATGCCAAAGCTTGAACCCCAACCTTTAGGTCCATAACCCAGAACCTCCACTGTTGAGCCATCAGTGCTCCCAATAAGATGTGAGGTTTTCATATTTGGGGAGTTCACAAGGGTCAGCACTATTGTAGCACATTGGCTGAGCCTCGTATCGGGTGAACCACCTGCTTAAATGACTTTAATGACCTTCTCTGAGTGTCTTTTACTCTGCTGGTGCTTGTATGCAACAACAATTGTTCTGTTTGTGGATCACATCTTTACTATTTCTTCATAGTCTGATGTTTGCATGTCATGTGTTTCCGACGGGATGCTGTGTAAATCTGCAAATGACCAGTTAGTGGCAGTAAAAGCCAACTCTCAACTCCCAAATTACGTTGCTTTGACAGTTTGAAGCATATTGTAGCAGCTTAGCCACAGGTGAATCATCAGAAGACTAGAAAAGAGACGTTAGAGAGCCATGATTCGCGTAGGGACGTGGCTCTCCTGTTTAAATTCTAATTGTAGAACTAATTGTCATGTTCCCCTGAAGACTGAGACACCAGAGTTCAGTTTAACTTCTTCGTTTCTATACAAACCGGTTTAACTCAGGACACCACCTTCGTCATGGTTCAGTTACACAACTCCATTTGTAGGTTCGTCATCATGTTTTAAACTGATCCCAAGTCTGATCTTTCGATGCAGATTTTGGATGCATACATTAGACACATCTGCAGATACAGTACAGAGGTATGTTTTCAGACTATGAAAATGTCAGGAGATGAAGTTGAACCACAAATGTCAACTTGCTTTTCAAATATAGTTATTAATTATTGTAACCTATCATTCATTTTTCTAATGTCTCATTAACCATGTATTCACTGTAGGGGGTTGATTAGATGGCTCCTGTGAACAAAGCAACCATAATAACACAACAGCAACACACCACTGAATGTTTTTGTCATAGAACTTGCAGGGATGGTTGAAAATGAAGAAGAGATAATTGGAATAAGGGTACAAGTTTGAATGTATGCAAATCATTATGCTGTTGGAAGCAAGTTTTTCAAGGTTAGAATTCACATATTTGTTTATCATACTGGAAATTGCCTTTTTTTAAGCCAGAGAGTACATCTTAAAGTATAAAAGTCTTTGTCTGTGTGGATAGGTGGACCACAGATGCCACATAATCAGTTCTTCAGAAAATACAGGATGTGCTGTATAGTTGAGCTCTAAAAGCTCTCAAGATGGAGTTCATGTGTTCACCAGCAGATGGCAGTGTGCTGCTTGCATTAGTGGTGACATGTTCAGCCTCCGGAAGGGTCATGCCTTCTAGAAATGTCAGATGTCATTTGATAATAAGCATGGTGGGCCAGAAAAAACTACAAAATCATTAGATTTTTAGCATTTTTAGTTCATTAGATGTAAACATTATTCCTGTTTTTGGATGTAAATGTGCTCGGCTGTCACACAGTAGGTTTCATTTCCTATCATTGTCTCTGGCTGTGAGCTGCTGTTACTAATTTGGTAGCAAACAACAAGAAAAATGTATTTAAGGTGCTTTGACCCAAATCTTCCTAAAATAGAAGTCTGTGACCTTGCGTTAATCACATTTGAGTTTGCACCTCCTCGAAAATGCTACTACGCCACAATATGGAGCTCATGTCCTGCATTTGTTTATATCGAATGTATCGTAGTGTGATGCATGTATGAAGCATACCTTTTTATTGTGTGTGTGTGTGTGTGTGTGTGTGTGTGTGTGTGTGTGTGTGACGAGGTTCCTTTTCTGTCTGAACTGAATTGGGGACAAGTGATCTTAAGTAGAGCACCATCCCCCTGTGGAGCTCCAGCAGTCTTTTCGCTCTGTTGCCTGAGCAAAGCTTCACTGAGGCTTTCGTCGTACTGTGCGATTGTTGTCCACCTCTCTGTCCGCCACCACTTGAGCTGAAGATGCTGAGAACCACTGACTCCCCTGAGCTGATGTACTATCTGAACTGTCTGTACAGGGAACCCAGGAAGGTCGTTCTCCACAAGGGTACCACGGGCCTGGGCTTCAACATCGTGGGTGGTGAAGATGGCGAGGGCATATTTGTCTCCTTCATCCTGGCAGGAGGCCCCGCTGACCTGAGCGGAGAGCTGAGACGTGGTGACCAGATCTTATCGGTGAGTTCGACGAGCGACCTCACTCCGATTTACAGTCATGTTGGAAAACGTTTAGTCTGATTCTACATCTTTTTTTGGCATGTCACTGTCTTTTCTCATACATTATGAAAAAGATTTTAATAACTCGAAATACAGGCTGCTAGCGAACTAATCTGAAACAGAAGTTACATCTATTTGTTGCATCCTTTGCATCAAGAGTGACCAAAAAAAAAATCAAACGAAGGCTGGCAGCTGCATGTACAGATCTACTTTTTTTTTTTTTTAAACCTGTGTGCTCCCTACATATTAATAGAAGTTCTACTGGCCTAGATTCTTTGTCAGGGCCAAACACTCACACTCTGGTTTGTTTTTCCTGCAGCATTTCTCCAATATTATCATAGAGCAGTGTAGTGTTTCTGTAGTAGTTACTGATACGTTTATTTTATCATAGTCGTGTTAAATTCTATTCCTCTGCAGCATAAAGACTTAATTAGTCTTTTTTCTTTTGCATCTTCGTTGCCTCAGTTTCTGACCCGTTGAAAATGTCACTGTGGTTGTATAAATTACAGATGGTGTCTATGAGTGCTTACACTGTACATACCAACAATCACCTGTGACCTGGGTATCTGCCACAGAGCCCCTCTCTAAAACACCTGTGAATTAGTTAGTTCATCAGCTGTATAATCACTTAAAGATTTAGATAAATAAATCAGAAACCACAAACAAAATAGGTTTTGAATCTTTTTGGAATTTACTGCTTTTGTCTATGCCACTGTAAATGATATGTCTAAAACAGGCCAGCTTATGGATTTTAATTCAGTGAAATTGTTTTGTTATTTGATGTTTAAATAGAAATAAATTGTTGTGGGAGCTAAATGTAATCCTTCATGCTACTGAAATGTCTAACTTAGGAGTGACCTAGTTGGCACACAGTGCTTCAGTCTGTTGTTACCACACCTTACCTCTTGCTGTGTGTTACGTTCAGGTACAGAATGCTGTTTTTTTGGTTAAAGAAAAATTGTTTTTGTTGTCTCCAAAGTGCATAAATGTGAAAACATTGCTTGTCTAGTTTCCATCAGTAAATCAAAAACACAATTTACAGCATGGCTAACTTTTAGTGTCACAGGCTCAGAAGCTCTTACGTCCAGGTCCAAACTACTGATGATAACAGAGACTCTACTCCCTAAAATTATTTTTGGTTGTTGCCTTAAAATAATGTCTTATAATGTCTACATTCAAAATTCCAACTGATGGCCAGACTCTGGTCTGTAGTGATGTATGAGCAAAGTGTCACCACTTGCAGACGTTACAGCAGACAAAGAGTCACTGTAGACTCAGAAAAAGAAAAAATAGTTTATACAGTCAAGAGCTGATGTGACAAGACTCAGGTTTAGGATCCAAATGCAGGAGTCAAGAGTGGATGTGAACAAAAATATTTATTCACAAAAATTTAAAATACAACACAAATACTCAGCAGATCTAGAAAACCTCTCTTCGGGTCTCTCAAAGGGAGACTCAAACATTAAATACACATGTGAGGTAATGGGGAACAACTGGACACAATTGGGGCAGAGCGAACGATCAAGACAAAATGACAACAGGAAGTAGAACTAAAAGAAATTACATGAAGATGAGACTGTAAAATAAAAGCTGCCAACAGAAACAGGAAGACAAGACAGAAACAAAAGTTTAACTTGACATCATGACATAATGTTGAATTGCCTGCACAAATCCTTAAAAAATGTTGTCAAACATTTTCAGACTACCAAAGAGTCAGGAGTGTGTGTGTGAAATCTTAAGTGTTTCTTCAAACCTAACTAACTAATAATATTGAGAACTAAATTAAATCGATAACTATGAACTTGTGGCTCTTGTTCTGACCCAGTTTCACACCACACAACACACGATACAGTCGGCAGCGTCACTCTTCAGATTGGAAGACTATGTAAACTGTACAATGATGCCGTAGTATTTACCCCAACAAAATGTGGTGTGTACTGAAACTAATAATGAAATGAGTTTGAAGTGCACAGCAGAACTGATTTTGTGTCTGGTTTACTCAGCAGTAGCAGTTGGTATTGCACTGTATAATAAAACTTCTCAAAAATTGTATTCCTTTAAAAAAAATTAAAAACTGAAGCAGTGGTTTCTAGTGGAACAAACCAAATATAGCACTTCTGATCAATGGACTTCAGGTTGCGATCTTAGGTTGTAAAAACACACCTTACATTGTTTGGTCAAGGTAACAAAGACCCATGCATATACAATGACTTGCTGAGATAATGAGCTGAGTTGAAAAATGAATGTTCTGCTTCGTTGTAACTAATTGTAATAGTTTGGCTCCCACACTAACTCCACGCTGTCCAACAGATTCTACTGCCGTGTTTAATTGTAGTGTCGTGGTGTCGTGAAATCAACATGACACTGTCTGGCTGTTAATTTGTGACCAATCAGTGCCTTGGTCTACCTTGATGAAAGCAGACACTTAACATTCTAGCTGTGGCCTAACAATAACTCCCTGTCTGTCTCCACTTACTGAGCATCCACACTCAGTCATTCCTACATCTGATATCCATCTGTTTTTGCACTTTTGGACTGATGCTGTTGTTCAGTTGCCCTGACACTAAAGAACAGCGACCAATCATGAACTGAGAGTAGTCAGAGATAAGACTGTGTTGATATGATATAGCCACAACAAAACCACCAGACTAAGATTGTGTCGACAGAATAGCCATAACCCATAATGCCAAGGACGTAGGACCTCCAGGCGTGTCCAGTGGTGCCTCCCACTGGCATATAGGGAGCTGGTCCTTTGGGTTCTGTGGATTGAAGGGTGGTGCCTCTGTGGAACTGGCTTGCTGTATATCCGGCAGATGTTAAATCAGATTGGAATTGTGGGAATTTGGAAGCTAGATTTAACACCTTGGGCTCTTTGTCGTGTTCCTGCATGTCAAAGTGACAAATGAAGCAGATCTGGTTTCAGCGGCTGCTCTTGTGATAATGTTAATAGGTGGAACACTCACTATACTGTTTAAACAAATGATGCAGAGAAAATCGTTTTATATGTTTTTGTTTATAAATTATAGAAACTATTTATATTATTGCATGTTGTAGATATTTATAGTTGGTGATTTTGTCTGCACATATGTGTGACAAACCCAGAAACATTCAGGTGTGTTAGTTTGCATGTAAGATCTAAACTGATATTGATATATTCAGTAAAGCCACAATAAATCATTCTCACTAATCCCTATTTTGTACTACAGCTCATCTGTGTTGTAGGCCATTGCACTGTAGTCAACTGAAATTCTCATAAATAGAATTGCCTTGTTGTTGTAACAGGTTAATGGCATCGACCTTCGAGGAGCTACACATGAACAAGCAGCAGCAGCACTGAAAGGAGCAGGACAGATGGTCACCATCATTGCTCAGTACAGACCAGAAGGTGAGTCAGAGCAAACAAGTTACTGTACTCATCAAGCACAGTTGTTAGCAGCTCTGCTAACAACACAAACTTGCACAGGACGATGCTTTAGTAGGTCTTTACTCTCCACTCAGTGATGTCTTACCTGCCAAACACTACTGCAGTTCAACAGTTGTTTTCAACAACCATCCCACAGAATTGTCTTTTCACACATGGACTAGACTGTGTCAGAGGAAGTAAAGCAAAAATGTGTGTGATAGCCCTTTACCTATTTGTTGGAAACACCCCACACACAGTGTCATGGACAAAAGAAAAACAAAACAACAGTCTGGAAGAATTCCACCTATATCCTCAAGATTCTTCCACTTTAAAAGTTAAGAAAATGATCTTTCCTTATGGATGCTTGTGGATTTTGCATTTGTTCTTTTCGTTATTTTAAATTAACACATGAATAAAACAGTCTTTTAAGGACTCTGTTGGCCCCGACTCAGAGATCTTACTTATTGATGATATGGGAAACGATGCAAGGTCACTTCTCATTTCATGTTGGGTTTGACATTTTCATATTGCAAGGCTCCATTTGTCCCTTCATTATATCAGGGATGAATTCACACTGAATGGAATCCTAAGTGGCTCTTTTGTTAGTGAGATTTTAGTTCAGTGTTTAGGTCATAGTTTAATGGACACCTTGATAGTGACAGAACTGACAGTCCATGTTTACTATCTTTAACTCCAGGTGCCGTACATTAAATGTCGTGTTCTCTGGAACTTTTTAGTCGTTGAATAATGTGGTAGTTATTTTTTTTGTCACGAACAGTAATGATGTAATCTGATTTTCTTTTTATTAACCATGCAGGTCATGTTTGTTTAATTACAATCTATCAAAGACTGTCTGCCAGCCTTATGTAAGTTAACATGAAGTGGATCAGACAGCTCTGACTGATGACGTGCCGTCTCTGATTAAGGTCATGAACAGCAGCAGCATCAACTTAAGGGTTATGGAGGCAGTGACTCATGGTCAGAGACTTCTTGATATCTCAGAGGTGCCAAAGTCAAAACCGTCCAGACCCTTACATTGAGAGCTGTGGTGCAGGTTTGCCTCAAAAGTGTACTCCAGAGACTGTATAGATCTAAAGGATAATATTCAATAGGTCCAATAGATCCAGCGATGGCGTGAAGTAACCATTTGATTTGGGCTCGTTGGTGATGGCTGTAAGGGGAACTGGATGTAGGCTGGGGCAAGGGGAGTTATGGCATCCAACACTGCCGGCATGATCCTGCTCAGTGATGGCTGGAAATGCTGCATATGTATCCAACCTCACGCTAGAATGCGATTTTTGTGGCCAAAAATCCCTGAATGGTTTCTGTTTGTACTTTCACTATTCTACCAGAATGTACGCATGGTCAGAGTTGTGCGTATATTTACGCACATTCCAAAGTATAAGTACAAGTTGATAAATTCCATACTTTGCGTGGGAATGCTCGTACGCACTCACTAAGCACACATCTGTGTGTATGCACTGATGATAAATGAGGCCCCAGAGTCCCAGACTGACTTTGGTATGTCTCACAATCTAAGTTAAAGCTATTTAACTTGCCATCCAGCTCAATCTAAAGTCTGCACTTCCACATCTCACTTACCCAAACTGTTGTTCTCTCCTGAGGTGACATCTTACAGCTGACTAAACCCCTTTGGGACTAACAACTGCTTTTCTTTTTGCCCATTAGAACTTGCTCTATGTTCACCACAGCGGGCCCTCTCTCCTGCACCAGGTTTGTGCCACTGGCACTCTGAGCATTAACATCATTCATCAGGGCTCAGCTCAGTGCGAGCCACTGAGTGAATGTGATCATGCTATGTTCACTCTGCGTTTGACCAACTGAGGCACACCTGATCCTTGTCCTTCCCAACCTTTTGATTGTCACTCCTCCACTGCACACTCCTGACTTTACCTTTTGTTTCTGTGGTCCCAGCTCAAAACCTTTCAAACCGTCTTCTTCACTTTGAAAATGTTTTTAGCTTTATTATAGACAACATTTTTAAGCCTAACCTTAAAAGTAGAAAGGGTGTCTGCCTCCTGAACCCAAACTGGAAGCTGATTCCACAACAGAGGAGCTGATAGCTGAAGGCTCTGCCTCCCATTCTACTTCTGGAAACTCTGGAACCACAAGTAGACCTGCAGTCTGAGAGCGAAGGGTTCTGTTAGGATGATACGGCACAATAAGGTTTTTAAGGTAAAATGGAGCTGGTCATTGAGAGTTTTATATGTGAGAAGCAGGATTTTAAATTTTATGCCAGTAAAGAGAAGCTAATACAGGAGAAATATGATCTCTCTTACTGGTTCCTGTCAGAACTCTGGCTGCCGCATTTTGGGTCAGCTGGAGGTTTTTAAGAGAGTTATTGGGACATCCTGATAATAAGGAATTACAATAGTCCAGTCTAGACGTTATAAATGCATGGACTAGTATCTCAGCATCACTCTGAGACAGGATGTTCCTGTATTTGACAATGTTATGCAGCTGAAACAAGGCCATACTACAGACATGCTGTATGCGTGCATTAAAGAACGTATCCTGGTCAAAAATAACTTCAAGATTCAGTAGAATTTGTTGCTAAGGCAATGCCATCCAGAACAACCATCTGATAAAAAAATGTGTGACTGATGTGTTTAGGGCCAAATACAATAACCTCAGTTTTGTCTGAATTTAAATGAAGGAAATTACAGGTCATCTAAGCCTTTGTGTCCTTCAGACATCCCTGGAGTTTGACTAGCTGACTGGTTTCATTTGGCTTCATAGATAAATATAACAGGGTGTCATCTGCATAACAGTGGAGTGCTTCCTAATAGTATTGCCTAAGGGGAGCATGTACAAAGTAAATAACATTGGTCCTAACACAGAACCCTGTGGAACTCTATAACTAACTTTGCTGCGGGTGGAAGAATCATCAACATGAACAAACTGGAATCTGTCTGATAAATCTGACTTAAAGCAGTTTAGTGCAGTTAGAGTTGTCAGCTGGGAGCTGTTGTTGAGCAAGAGTAACAGTAAAATTAAATGTGTGTGACCAGACATTCTGTGCGAGTTTTCTAGAAAATCACAGACAGATAATACAAACCAGCGCTGTTGTTGGGTGTATCTGTTTGCTCTTGCCTCCGCCCCTGAGCTGCTTATATGAGCAGCCAGGGGAGAGAAAGAGGTGTTTCCCTTTCTCTACTTGGTGCTGCAGAGTCAGAAAATTGGACTGTCCGTAGAGAACAGTGAAAAGGATCACAGAGGACAATACAAAGACAATATCAGAAAGAGACAGCAACCGTGGAAGATAGAACATCAGAGTGAACAGGTATGTGAGATCTATTTTAGAGGAAGGTGGGCAGAAAAATAGACAAGGAGGAGATTAAAGTAGTCATGTTGAAATTTCTGTTTCTAATAATATATTGTATTTTAAATATAGTTTTTTGTACGGGCTACATGTGAGGCTTTCTCTTTAGAGAGAGGAAGTCTTAGGAAGATGTAAAGAAGCTCATTAGTGATTCAGAAGAGTTTGGTACAAAAAAGAGCTTTCTTGGAATTCCCTGAAAAAAAATTAAATCAGCGAAAGTTCCAGTGTATCTCGTGTCTTGATTTTGTTGTGCCATGAGAGGTTGCTTATTTCATGATAGTATATGTCTCATCTCTTTGCTTGTTGATCTTCTTTAAGGGAAAGATTAGCCAGCCGTGCTACAAGTGATCAGCTTTCTTATGCTCATAGTAACTGCACAATCAGGAAAAGCATACTTGCCAACAGATTGATTTTGTTCTTGGCTTCTGACTTTATTGACTGAAATTATGGTGGTTCATACTAAGTGTATCGATATTAACAAAATTAATAAGTGTTGTCTTGGTTTGCATGTTGTCTGTGTAGTGGTAGATGTCCAAACTACTTCCAGGGTCACCCTCTTGTTTATTTGTGGTTTTTACTTTATGAGGTAAAATCAACAAATAGAATTTCGACTAAATAAAAAAAAAGTTGTTTCTTGACTTTGCTAGGCTTGTTTTTCAGTATTAATGTACAATGAAAAATTTTCGTTTTTCATTTTTGGGTCATTATATATTCAGAGTGCAGATTTCCTATATACACATTGTCCTTTTGTATCATCATCTCCTTTGTATTTACCCCAGTGAGAATAATCTAGGATTCAAATATACTGTTTTCCACCTAACAGGGGAACCTTCCAGTTTTAGTGGCATCATTAAGCTCACCGCCTCTTTCCTTTCATGTACTGACATCTGAATGCAGACCTGGCTGTCACTTGTAATCCATTTTAATCTTGTCTTGCAGAATATGAGCGATTTGAGGCCAAAATCCATGACCTGCGCGAACAGATGATGAACCACAGCATGAGCTCTGGTTCAGGATCCCTCCGGACCAATCAGAAGAGATCGCTCTATGTGAGGTTGGTTTGCTTCAGCTTTTATCCCAGTCTTGGATGTTCAAGTTAAATTCAGAAAACATAGAAAAAGAAAAAAAAACATCCATTCCCTGCCCCACATTTCTTCCGTGTGATGTTTGCCCTGACCAAGCTCCATGGCAAAGGGATAGGACCACATTTTTTAATAGAGCTGTGTTATTTACTTTTCATGCAGATGACGTACAAGAATAGTTTGATTCATATTTCTTTTTGCATCAAGATGTGGGCCTAATTAATGTCAAGATTTACGCATGCACACGTTCAAACCAGGTTTGAGATCTGTGACTGAAACAGAAGAACATTTCTAATTCTAGCAGCCCCCATGGACCAGCAGTCAATATTCTGTATGACCTGGTAAAGCTCTGCTTCTAATTTCTCTCTACTGAATTAGAAAAGGCCTCAAATTCATTCCACAAGCTGTCAGAATGCTGAACTGCTGATCTAGATATGCAAACACTTCTTTATTTAAATTGCTTTAAGTTATTGGATGCTGATGAAACACTTTCTCATCTTGCCTGTACTGCTGTGTATGTACAGCAACATGACAACAAACCTGATTTGATTTGAAATCGAAGACTGACAGTGAAGAAATAGAAAACAATTGTGTCTGCAAGAATAAACATGATAATCCTGTATTCTTCCACTGAATAGGGTACTGTTTGACTATGAGAAGTCGAAGGACAGCGGTCTCCCCAGTCAAGGGCTCAGCTTCAGGTATGGGGACATACTCCACGTCATCAACGCCTCAGATGATGAATGGTGGCAGGCCCGCCGAGTTACTCCACATGGAGACAGCGAGGAAATGGGTGTCATCCCCAGCAAGAGACGGTAAGCAGTGGATAGAGATGTGTTTCACTTTTCAGATATTATAAAAACCTGTCAGTGATGTGTTAGGAAAGCATTGTGTGAGGACAGTACACTGGAAAAAAACTTCAGTTTGAATAAGTGAAATTGAGCTGATAAATTTTTTTGACAAATTAGCAGAGACTTTTAGCCACTGTCTTAAACAGGTCTATTTCAGGATTTAACATTTCCAAAGACCTGAAAAAGAGCCTGAAACAAGACATTTTAGGATGTTCAGTTTCCTACAAGCTGTCTGTGAAAATACTAGACACAAAATACCAGAAACAACACAAGATAGATCATTAGAATAGATGTTTAATGTTGTTGTCATGCTGCAAAGTGCACTTGTCGGTTCAAGCTAGAAAACATGTTCAATGCTTAGTCGAGGTAAATCAATACCAGTTACATTGAAATAAGCATAGTAACTGAGTGCATTTGGTTGTTGACTGGATTTATTTTTGAAGACAAAAACATTGCTTTAAAAGCGATCAGAAAGTATGAATTTCCCTTTTTCTTGTGTCCATGGTTAAGATGGAGGGAGTAAAACAGACAAGACACAGACATCTATATTTGTATACACCACAAGTACAAGTGTTTGACACCCGTGTGTAAAAATGTTCTTTACTTCAATATATTGTCAGCGCAAGTAATTTAATTTTAACTCTGTGGTTGACTGACGTGGTTATTTGCTTGGCAGGGTGGAGAGAAAAGAGCGGGCACGTCTAAAGACTGTGAAATTCAATGCCAGGCCAGGGTCATTTGACTCAAAAGGGGTAAGTGCGTTTTTGAGAGCTGCAAAATGGCAGTTTCTATCAGTACATCAGCTTAATGATTCATAGCTCAGATGTATCTGTGAACTGAGTGTAGGCAAGAAAAAAAGTCATCTATCGTCAAGTGTGTACAGGAACTGTGTGGCTTCCTGTGTAACCAGATTTAACTGTGTCATCGTGTGCCTTTTTGGTTCTGTAGTCGTGCTCCTCTCACTGCAGTTTGATGTTCAGTTATAGCATAGATAGATAGATAGATAGATAGATAGATAGATAGATAGATAGATAGATAGATAGATAGATAGATAACATTTACTAAGAACACATCAGCCAGTTTTATTGTGTGTGACGTTGTTCATTTACATTTCTACCAATAACATCGCAGCCCCACATTTATAAGTCATGCAAAGACTAAAAACAGCCAATTTCCTCTTTGTAATTTTAATTCACTCTGATTTCTAACAGGTAGATAAGTCATTGCCTTTGTAATATGGATCCTGGAGGGCTATTTTTCTGTCAAGAATATTTACCCTCTAGTTGTCAAACTTTCTGCTTAGAAAATTGTATGCTTGTAGCAAAAAAAAAAATGTAATAATCAGCTTTTCACACAGATATTTCATTTATACAACAGCATGAGGAGTGCAAGTGTGTTCTACCAAGCTTTTAGCTAAACCCTGACATATTTATTCAACAACAAACATAAAGTTAAGGAGGAAATGGTACCTGGGATTTGGGCAGTTAATACATCTGAGCATGACTCCACATGGAGTCAAACAGCTTTCATTTTCAAACGATGGCGTGACATTATATTCATTATTTGAAGTGTCATCTCCTCAAATTCTATCTTTTCTTTCTATCACTGCATGTTTTGTGTGTGTTTACGGTGATCTTTTCTATGACTAAACCTCATATTTTCTTTGTTACATTACTTCTCTCACTGCATGGTCAGGGTTACTCTTCTTTCACCTTGTTTTTAATTTAAATGGCTCTGATGCAAATGTGGCATGTCAAGAAGTCCTGCAACCTATAGTGTCATTGTCCCAGATGAACAAAACAAACACATTCAATGAAATCCTCTAAGTACATTTTACAAACATTTTTTCTTTTAGCGCTTGTTAATATTTTACTAATTTAGACAATAAAATAAATGTATACAACAGTTCATCTGATTTCCCACAAACAGCTTTTGCTGAATGAAAATGCCTAATGAGAACAGTTCTGTAAAAATCCAGTTAAAAAGAAACAGTTGGTTTGTTTTCCATCAACACCCAGTTAAATCTGCAATAGCAATGATAAGGCCGTCTGTCCTTTGTGCATTCACACCACAGTTGAGAGGCTTTATTGCTGAAATGTACCATCACGAACAAAAGTTTACATGTACTTGTAAAGACCATGTGTATCCTGGCAGTTTCCAGTGACTCCTATAACTCTGAACTTTCTATGATGGAATCATATGATGGAATCACTGAAACACTTGTGTCTTTCTCACAAAAAACTATAGCTAATATGAGCTAATATTTGGTTAAATGTCATTAAAATGTCATTTGGCCATTGTTTCCTCAACTAGATGCATTTGGTAGCCACCACAAGCTTCTGGTTGGTTTGTACTTTCAAATAGTTGTTTGCACAAATTTGGGGCAAACTGGATAATGTGTATTCGCATTCCAACAACTTTCTGATTCATAGTAAAATGTTAAAATTCACTGCGTTGCCACTGCAACAGCATTACATGAAAAATCACAAGTTTAATAACTTTGCATGCAAAGGATTTGTGTGGCATTGTTCTAATCTAAAATCACTTTGATTCATTCCTTAAGGGGATTTGTTAAAGTACAACACGTAAATTCAAACGGGCTGACTTCATGTGGGCTTTAGAATGTGGCTCCAAGAGCTTTTTTGTAAGGTTACTCATGTATCTACCAAATTTGATGCATTGAAGTGAAATCTATTGTAGGGGTGACATTTTTTTTATTGACTGCACTAAGGAGCCATTATGCCACGCCCATACCAGAGAACCATAAAACACAGTTTTCACCACTCCTGACACATGTGCACATTTTCAAGCCTTCCCAGTCCTTCAAAATCGGCGTCCTGTTTCATGGCGAATAATGTGTTGCTATTGCAACAGTGTAGATAAAAACTGAAAAGTTGTTCCAGGTAGCATCATCAAGGTCTCACAACATAGCAGACCAAATGTCGGTAGAGCCAATTAATCTGCTCATAGCAGCTTGTAAAGACATAGTCTCTAACTTTCTGTTTGTCAGTAGATGGCGCTATCATTATTATTCAATATTTACATTCAGACAAGGACTTTTATCAAGCATGAGGAATCCTTGGTAAATTGGAAAAAAAAAGCATTTGCACTGTTATGTTAGTATTTAAACATAACTATAATTTAGGGCGGCACAGTCGCTAGAAGGTCCTGGGTTTGAATCTCAAACTGGAGTCCTTCTGCGTGGAGTCTCCATGTTCTCCTCATGCAGCGTGGGTTCTCTCCGGGTTCTCCGGCTTCCTCCCTCAGTCCAAAAACATGTTGAGGTTAATTGATGATTCTAAATTGTCCATAGATGTGAATGTGAGTGTGCTTGGTTGTCTCTCTCTAAGTGTAGCCCTGTGATAGACTGGCGACCTGTCCAGGTGTCAGCTGGGATAGGCTCCAGCCCCCCGCGACCCTAGTGAGGATAAAGCGGGTTATAGAAGATGGATAGAATAATATTTAACTCACTGAGTTATAACCAGAGGTTAATAACCTGTGTTTGGACGATGTTTTTGTTAATCAAATGTCCAATCTAAACCATGGCAGAAAACCTGTAGAAAGCATCCATAGCTTTTGTCAGATCAACAGTATGAACTCCATGAATGTTCAATTCACTTTTTATTGGCTTTATAAGTGGCTGAAGTTGAAATATTTTATAAAATGCGAGTGATTCTTTTTCTGATGATCAGCTAAGAGTCACTGTTTCGACTTTGAAGTATTTTGGAAGTGGTCTGACCAGAAATAGAACACAACTTTATTTTAATCAGGATCTTAAATAAGTTAAATGCTCTGATGAAAACTGCACAGAATATTTGGTAATAGACTGCTAGAGTGAAAACAAATCACACAAAACTACATTTAAATGTTTTCAAACAACAGAACTTCTTGATATTCCACTTCCTGCAAGCAGTTGTTTTGTCTGCATGAACGTGACAGATACCTGTTTGCCCCATGCTTTTTCTCCCTTCACAGTCATTCACTGACAAACGTAAAAAGAATTTCATCTTTACACGAAAGTTCCCATTCTACAAGAACAAAGATGGTGAACAGGATGGCAGTGATTCAGACCGTAAGTAAGCTCACAGACACACATGTACCTCATGCAGAGTGAGTGTAGGTCACACATAGAACTGGTCGGGGAGTCACAAGTGCGTTTCAGGTGAAGAGGTTTCAAAGAGGCCTTTACTCCTCTCATGATTGTTTCTCGTTGTGCTTGTTTTTCTGTTTCTGTTGGATCACAGTCAGGGACATCCTGCCTCAGATGCTGATCAGTCAGCGGGAGAGAAGCCAAATCGGTGCTGTTCATTTTAGTGTAATATGCTCCCATATGGTGATATTGTATGACCCAGTTTCCCTTCAGAGACAGTTTAGGTTCAATCTCAACCAGAGCATCTGTCATCAGATTGTATTTGGCTCCCTCTGCTGGCGGCTCACTGTCTGAACAGGGACAGATCTAAGGGCCCATCACTCCGTCCTCTCAATGCCTCCCACATGGTGCTTATGTTGCGGCTGTCCTCCTTCCTCTCTTTCTTCTGTTGCGGCTCTCTTTGGACGGTTAATAGGACATCCTGGGGATAGGTGATGATGGGTATGGGACAAAGACATTCAGTAAGTTGGTCCAGGAATGACTCCTCATCTCTGTTTACCATGATCCCCCAACACACCCGCCCTCCCCCACACAAACGTCACACTATTTGTCTGAACGTGTGTCTTCTGCCTGTATCACTGCATGCTGCTGCAGCTGCTGGATTTGCCTTGCTTCTTGGTTTGCAGTGTGTTAACCTCTGTCCTAAGCAGGTTCACTAAACTCAAGCTGTGGAGTGCATCTAGGTTTTGGATTGTTTAATGGTCAACGGCTGAAAATGTATGATATCTGATTAGGAATCCCAAGAAGTGGTGCAGTCTTTTTTAAAACTTTAAACTACACTTTCTCTTTTTTTTTTGCAAATCAGGATTGATCCTTTGACAAAACTTGAAATGTAGACAGAAGAGGAAGAGATGTTTTGTTTTATTGTTTTAATTGAAATCAATTGAGTCACATTGTCTTACTGTCTCTGTAGTCTGTTTGTGCTATTTTTAGTGGCTCGTGGTTTGAATTACTGTCCATTTACTATTCACTGCGGCTAGTTGGGACTCAGGCCTGAAAAAAGATGAAAGTCACATCTGTCAGCAGCAGAGGCCACTTTGCATAGATTTTGCACTGTGGTTGATCAGTCACCAGAGTGGTTCTTGTGTACTGGAGCCTCTTACACTACACTGGCATGCTAGTTCATACTGATCACTGTCTTTAGATTGTGTTTTATGCATGTTTGCATGGCATTGGCCTAAACCTTTTTAAACTATTGTGTGTTTGCTTGTGAGCGTTTCAGTTTGAAGTACAATCGTAGAGCATGTCACAGTTACATCTGTTTGTCTGAAAGTTATGCTGTAATGTGTTATCTCTTAGAGTAAATGTGTCAGTCCTTTTGAATGTTGGTATACACACCAATATAGCCTGATGTTTTTCTCAGGTATTTTTAAAACCCCATATTAAATTTTATGCAATATGGTATAAAGTTTGCTTTCTGAAGTTCAGTTCATTCATTCATTTGGAAGGCTGAAATAGTGGGGAATACAAAACTTGAGGTTAAAATATGAAGAAATGTTGAAAAATGAATGAAATGTTGCTAAACTCTTTGGTCCGGTTTGCTGTTTGACTTATTATGAAGCATGAGCGACATACTTGCATTTTGATGTTAGCAGGGAATAGTAAACTTTTATGACCAGAAATATGTTCTAATGTTTTTTACGTATCCCACCAGGGAGTCAAGAGGACGTGATTCTATCATATGAACCTGTGATACGGCAAGAAAGTAGGTCATCACTTTCCAGTAAATGTTTCATCACAGCTGGCCCTCAGCATGTGTACCACTAGACTGCTGTGTTGTTCATGTAGATT